TCTCCTTGATTAGTTTCCACCCATTGCTTCTTGTTCTGCCCTCAGGTGTCTTGGAGAATAGCTTGACTCCCTCTTCTTTGGGGCAGCCCCTGAGAAATTGGAACACTGCTATCATGTCTCCCTACTTCTAGGTTGGGCCTTATTTTTTAAACAAGCTTCCATCCTTTACTTCTTGTCCTGCCCTCTGGTGCTCTGGAGAATAAGTCAATCCCCTCTTCTCTTATGACAGCAGAGCTCTGGGTTTTCCTGCTCTGGGTTCTGCCCCCTTTTGTCCTATGCCAGCCAAAGCCTGGCCCTAATGTTTAGCAAAAGCAGAAATTGAAATCCATCTGGAAGGCTCCTGGTTGGGGGAAGGCTGGAGTAATTAGCTAGTTTTGTTCCTCAAAGAAGAATTGAGTGGCAGGCCTCTAGAAATGAATCCCAGGTAGTGTTTTTTTTAAATTAACTTTTAAATTAAAAAGAGGGTGTTATCCAGGAGGGCTGCTTGTGTTGGATGTCCTGAAGTGGTGCACCCACAACTTGGTGATGTAATGTGTGGAGGAATGAGCAGGATGGAAGGGAGTGTTGTGTGGAGAAAGATAATGGCGTATTACCGGATAAAATGTTGCTTAGTCACACTTCAGGCATTCTTACTGTGCAGTACATGGGTGGTGTTAGGTTTTTCTTATAATGTGTCATGGAAACAAAGGTCCTTGTGCAAGCCTGGGCATTAGACAGTTGTGATTTGGAAGATGAGGTAAGAAAAACGACACTCCCTGCTAAGACAATGAGGAATAAAGCTGCAAAAGCATGGCTCAGTCAGAGAGGCAGAGTGGTGTAGCAATTAGGATGTCCAACTCCCAGCAGGGTGACCTGATTGCAGCTACTGTATTCTCTCCCAACCCAAAGTTATCCAGTGGAGTTTTTCACAGAGTTGTTGTGAAATGAAACTGAAAGAATCCTAGGGATTGGAATGGAAGTTGGAGGTCTTCTAGTCTGGCCCAGGATTCCTCAAACCCTCCAGGCAAAACCTTTGCTTGAAAACCTCCTGTAATGGCATCCCCCATGAGTCCACGAGCAGGCTTGTTCCACTGCCTCCTACAGAGGCCTTCAAACTTGGCAACTTTAAGACTTGTGGACTTCAACTCCAAGAATTCTCCAGCCAGTATAGCTGGCTGGAGAATTCTGGGAGTTGAAGTCCACAAGTCTTAAAGTTGCCAAGTTTGGGGACCCATAGCCTAATAGATCTCATGAACAAGAGATTCCTCCTTCGTTTGAGTTTGGAGCTTCCTTTTTCTGAAATCTCTACTTGTTAATTCTTCTCCTGAATCCCCATCCTCTTCCCTGCCACAGCCCTTCAAGTACAGGTAATCAACAACTTATGACCAGTCACTTAGCAACTGTTCAAAGTTACGACATATCGCCCTAGGGATACTTATGACTAAGTTCCAGAGTCATAAGGGGCAGCTGACTCTGTTTGGTCAGCTGCCCCTCCCCCAATCACAATCATTTCGGACACTCAGCAACCATCCCTCATATGCAGCCATTCAATTGACCACATTTTATGTTTTTGTCAAAATCTAGCATTTACTTCGGGTTTTTGGCAAAGCTGGTCAAAAGCAAACAACTGATTCACTTAATGACTGTGGCATTCGCTTTACGACTGGCCACAAAAAATATAAATTCAGGTTGGTCATGTGATGACCTGCTTTTTGATCATCACAATTTACAAGCAGGCTCCATTATGGCCATAACTTGAGGACCACCTGTATTGGGAGACCACTGCCATGTCTCCCCTTAGTTGTCTCTCATTTTGGTTTATCATAGCTAGATCCTTTGACGGCTCTTCATAGGATTTAGCCCTCGAGAGTCTCACCCTATTTGTTACTTCTAGTTCCCCAACATCCTTCTTCCATTCTGGGGCAAGTAGAACTGGATTCAGTACTATCAGTACCGTCCTCACTGTCGTTTGTATCTAGAGAAAACACAGAATATACAGTAAATATACAAGGACAATTTTTCCCCCATGCCATCACTCTGCTAAACAACCAATTCCCACAACACTGTCAAACCAATTAGTAAGACTGTATTAATATTTTTCTTCTCATCTTTCCTATTACCTATCTCCTTTTCTATTACCTATCTCCTTATATCCCTATAACTTGTTGCTTGTATCTTTACTATTTAATTTTATTTAGTTTCCTGGTATGATTTATGTTGATTCTATCACTAAGTGTTGTATCTTATGATTTATGATGACTATGATCATGATGTATCACTTATAGCTTTTATGTACAATGAAAGCTTAGCACAGAAGACAAATTCCTTGTGTGTTCAATCACACTTGGCCAATAAAGAATTATATTATATTCATATTAATAATAAGGAAGATCGGAAAAGAGATCAGGGCTAGCTAAAATGCTTCATCCCCGGCATATTTTTTCTAGCTTGCGCAAATTTCAAATAAACTCAACAAAGAGAAGAGCAGTCTGGAATTGAATGTCTTCTATCAAAGAAGAAACTACGCTATATTGCCAAAAGTATTTGCTCACAACTGAGTCTGATTATGTGGATGGGTGAGCGAATACTTTTGACAATATAGTGTATATGTTGGCAAAAGCTAGCAAACTCTCCCTCTCTCTCAAAATACCCCTTTAACTCTCGATATATATAAAATGCTAAACAAAGATTTCTTCAAACTTGGTTTATTGACCAAATCAGCTAAGTTTATACAGTATAAACACAGCAAGACATACAACTTAAATCAAAACTGAGAAGCTACTTTGGGCTTAATGTGGTACAGAGAACTTTATGTGTATTTAGCTGCCAGTTAGTAAACACATGTAATAAATAGAATCTTTTTTTAAACTTCCCCTTTGAAATGAAAACATCCCATCCTTTCCATTTATCTTACCGCTCTTAATTTAATAAGGTAAAAAGCATCCCTTGCTGGAGTCATCAATTAAGTGGTTGATGCATGCAGCCCTGTGTGATCCAGAGGTAAATTTGCTTTGATTACTGCAGATGGCAATGAGGAGGGACTCTAAATGGGTTTATATTATGTATTTATATGTCTCTTAGATCTGGAATGATTTCATGAACCGGTCTGGGGAAGAACAAGAACGAGTCCTTCTGTATTTAGAAGAGGAGGCTTCAAAAAAACCAAAAAACAAATTGCCTGATAAAACTGAGGGCAAATGGAAAGGTACGGAAAAGACATTATGGGCAAAAAGGACATTATAGGCAAAAAGAAGTCTCTGTCTTCCTTCAGTATAGTTTAAACCAGGGGTCTCCAACCTTGGCAACTTTAAGACTTGTGGACTTCAACTCCCAGAGATCCTCAGCCAGCTGTGGGAATTGAGGTCCACAAGTCTTAAAGTTGCCAAGGTTGGAGACCCCTGGTGTCATGCCTGCAAGCCATCTTTTCTTTTTGGACTTCAGGCCCGCCACACACTCTACTGTGCGAAACTGGGAAGGGGGATTATGTGGAGTTGGGTGATATGTAGCCATAATAATATTCTTCTTAGAAAGTCAAGGCTATCTTTTGTCTCTGCACCTGGCCGGAACTGGATGGGTGGACTCTGTCTTCGTGGCAGTGGAAGATTGGACCATGTGATGAACATGTGGGTGTTGGGGCATGATCTTGAACTTTCAACTGGGTGGGAAAATCTGGAAGCTTTCAGATTCAGGTTTTCCCAGGAAACTCAAGCGTCTGAGTTTTATTTCGTTGGAGGTGTTTTTTGGAATCTTGACATTGACCCAAAACGGACACCTGGTTTAAAGCACCGGACATAAATCAGGGAGTTTGAACAGGAGGAAGAGAAGGCTTTTGGTCTTTCTAGTTAAGAATAGCAATAGCATTTCTTGGACTAATATCATAGTGCTTTACAGTCCTCTCTTAAACGATTTACAGAGTCAGCCTATTGCCCCCAACAATCTGGATCCTCATTTTACCGGCTGGAAGGCTGAGTCAACCTTGAGCCAGCCAGGATCGAACTGCTTGGCAGTGGGAATGCAGAGTTAGCCTGCAATACTGCATTCTCACCACTCTTTATGAATGGAACATCCATATCCAAGACCACAATCTACCTGTGAAAATCAATCCAACACTTAGAACTTGTAGGCTTCCAAAATGTATTGGCTTTGCCCCGGAGGAATGAGATATGCTTCCAGGATTATTTGGTGTATTTTTTGTTACATTTTTTTTTCTGTTTCTTTTTTTCCCTATTGTTACAGAGCATCTTCCATTCACACCCAAAGACTGTTTTCAACGCATCAGCCGACGCTTACGAACCACCCTGAAACGAAGTCGGATTCCCATGGTACGTTCTATAGGCAGGTAGTTTATTCAGGTAGTCCTCAATTTATGACTGGTTGCTTAGTGATTGTTGAAAGTTATAGCAGGCTACTTTTGTCCTGGATTCAGAGTTCCAACAGCTGCCACCCCACAGTCACATGAATGCATTTTGGGTGCCCAGCAACTAGCCTGCATTTATGGCCATTTGCAGGATCTCAGGACAGAGGTGGTTTGTTATTGGTTCGCACCGGTTCAAGGGAACCGGTCGTGGCGGTGGCGCGAGGCTCCGCCCACCCACCCTGATGTCATCAAGGACCTTCTGTGGTCATATGACCACGATTGAAGTTAATAACCGGTGTTTATTTTCAGTTTCCAGCAAAAACCTCTATTGTAGACAATGAATTCACTTAATGACTACACATTCATTTAACCATGATGATTCACTTAAGGACTGCTGCAAAAAATAAAATTGGCAATGGTCACATGGTGACCCACTTAATGACTGGCACAACTTAACTATTGTAATTTTGGATTCAATTGTGTTTGTAAATCAAGGACTATCTGTAGTGAGGGATCATTTCAGAGCCTGGTTTACTGACGAAATAAGTACTTGGCAAATAAACTTCTGAATCTAGCCTGTACAGGCCCTTCTCAGCTTATAATGGTTTGTTTAGTGACCGTTTGAAGTTACAACATCATTCGAAAAAGTGAGTTATGACTGTTTTTCACACTTACGACTGTTGCAGCATCTCCGTGATCAAAATTCAGGCACTTGGCAACTGACTTATATTTATGACAGTTGCGGTGCCTGGGGTCCCGTGATCATCTTCTGCGACCTTCTGACAAGCAAAGTCAATGGCGAAGCCAGATTCACTTAACAACTATGTTACTAAGTTAACAACTGCAGTGATTCACTTAACAACCCTGGCAAGAAAAGTTGTAAAGTTGTAAAGTGCACTTAACAACTGTCTCCCTTAGCAACAGACATTTTGGGCTCAATTGCGGTCCTACGTTGAGGACTATGTGTAAATGCACAGCAATTCCTGCTTGACCTTTTCTCTCTCTTTCCCAGTGAGTTTATCACTATACTAGCTATTAACCTGGCATTGCCCGGGTATTCGTTTATCCCAATCCTGTATTAGACATTCACAAATGTCCAGACCAAATGTAATTTCTGACGTTGGATTTTCCCCTTTACCAGAGAGAGACCCCTTGTAGGAGTACTGCGAAGCCGTTACCATGGCAACTTCACTGCACTGTACATTAGAAACCATTTTAAGGCAGTACAGTAGAAGACATTTTAAGGCACAACAGGCTGTATCTTAACAGAACACCCTCCCCCGAGGGGTGTTAGGGATGTCTTACCCCCACAACATTTGTTTCCAGAGAATAAGCCACCTGTGTACCAAGTTTGATTGAAATTGCTGGAGGCTTTCCAGAGTTATGCTGGAACATACACACACACACAGCGATATATACATAAGAGTATCCTGCCTTTCTGGAAAGATCTTGTGATGGCTTGGCTGACACCGCTGAACTGCAACATCTTGTCCCTTTTATTTTTGTTTTGTTTGGTGCTTTTTCCTGGATCTTTGTCAAGGACCTGTGAGATAGACCTGTAACTTACACCCATAATACAGAGAGGAAAACTGAGGATGAAAACAATCTCACTTTATGGGGCCTCTTGTGAATTGGAAGCATAAGTGAGATCTGAACTGGAGGCTTTCTGATCAATAGCTCTGTTTCCGAACCACTCTATTTGTCTCTAGTCTTTTGACTGTAATAAAGTTGATTGGATTGATTGATTGATTGAACCATTTTGTTGCAGCAGTAAATATATGAGTAGAGTACGTAGGTTGCTGCTTCTTGTTACAGATTGTAGATCAGTATTTTTCAACCTCGGCAATTTTAAGATGTTTGGATTTCAATTCCCAGAATTCCCCAGGCAGCTTGGCTGCCTGGGGAATTCTGGGAATTGAAGTCCAAACATCTTTAAATTGTCATAGTTTAAAAATCACCTGTGTCGATTTTCTGGGTTGTAGATTGAAAGACACAGCTTGTTGTTTTTTACAGGAAACCCTGGAAGGTTTGGAGGAAGAGTTGCTGGCCTTTTTCTCCACTAACCCTCAAGCTGTCTACACAGCTATGATGGACAACAGGTAACTATTGCTGACTGCCATTCTCAGTAAAGACTTCAGTGGCATTTAGCACGCAAAGCTTGACCAGACCATCAACTAGTGTGTGTATTTTGAATGTTGAAAGCCGGTTAGGATATTGTTCTCAAATGGCCACCAGGGGAGTTTACAAAATGGCGGCTGGAATGGGCTTAATCAGTCACCAAGGTCTCCTCTGACACCCTAGAATGCTCATTATCTCCCCAACTTCTTTTCATTTTTCTGGGTAATTCCCTATCAGACCACTCTGTCCTTTTTAGTTACCGAACCTGCCTGTGGAATTTTAATATATGACTTTTTAATATATGAATGAAGACTTTTTAATATATGAATGAAGATATTGCTTGAGGCCCGACTCCTCATTTTGTGAGCTTCTCATTTCCTTTTTAAGTTAAAATAATTTATGATAATGATAGTAGTAGTAATTAGGTAAGGATGAGTAGGAAGCCTACTGAGTGCCAAGGGAACTATCCAAAATCATTATAGTTTCCCTGCAAGCTAAACAGTCACACATTTCTTTTGGAGCTTTGAAAGTTGAGAGGGTTTTTTTTTTTCTTTTGTTTTCATTTGAATTTTCAAACTCTCGTGCCCTGGATTTATCTGTGGCCAATTTGACATCCTCCTTTTTACATTACAAAGAATTTTGTATGTTTTTTTTATTACTGTAACGCGCTCTACGATTACTGTAACGC